TAATTTTACGACAGTTCAAGCGTGGTAAAATCATCGCCCAAATGCTTTTATTTATTAAGATAGCCGATTCCATATTCCGAAATACTGATTTCGATGGAGACGGTTTGAGAAATGACGTTGCATTCACTGTTGACAAAATTACTATACTCGAAAGTAAAAATGATTCCGAACTACTCTTCGGCACAGAGACTAATGACTACAAAATATTTCTACAGAACTTATCCAAGTATCGTCATCCGTATTGTATGTTAATCTGCTTCAGTCACAGAGATTTCTGGAATTACTCGCAATGCGCAGTTTCCAAAGTCAACAAGATTGGAGGAATCTGTTCTGATTCCAAAGCATCGGAAAGTATGGATAACGTCGGTTTTATTAGCAATTTAGAAAATAATGAAATTATTCCGAGATTTAGAATACCGTTAAATTTAGTTCATCAATTGGGACACGCATTCGGTTGTCACCACGATCCCGAAAATAATCGATTTTGTAGTCCCGGAGATATCGATCCGAAACAAGGCAATTATATCATGCACCCGAATATATCTTATGGTGTGTTTCAAAATAATTGGCAGTTTTCTACTTGTTGCAAAAATACGATAAAGAATTTCTTTAGAACATCAAGTAAATTTTGAAATTTATTCCAATTTATTTATTTATTTTTTATTTTTTAAAAAAATAAACAATTCTTTATCTTGCTAAATTTTAAATTTACTTTATCAATAGAACTATATATTTCTATTTTTCTAATTAGGAATAAAGAATTGTCTAATGAGAAGAGAATTATCGACTTGTGGAAATGGAATCGTAGAAGAAGGAGAATCGTGCGACTGCGATTCTTCGGCAGAAAACTGTACAGCTGTTGAAAAATGTTGTACACTTAGTGTACAATCATCGCGGTGTACAGTGAGAGAGGGAATGACTTGTTCTCCTAGTAAAGGACAATGCTGCGACGATAATTGTAATATTATTGAATCTGACAGAAAACGGAGGTGTTTCAGTAATATGGAATGCTTTAACGTTACCACAATTTGCGATGGAGTTTCTGCATTTTGTTCTGCAGTGAAACAACCGGATGGTACGCCTTGCAGACAAAATTCTGGAACGTGTAATAAAGGACTATGCAACAGCAACGTCTGTCGCGATCACAATATGAAACTTTGCCAATGTAAGAGCAGTCGTTTCGAATGTCACATTTGCTGTAGGAATGAAACGAGTAGGTGCCAAACTGCTAAAGACTTGCAGTTTTTTCCATCCAAGAACGAATTCTACGTGAAAATGCCTGGAACTTTTTGTAATAACGAACACGGGCTGTGTACTAGGTATGTGTCTGCATAGGATAAATTCATAGAATTCTGTATTATTGTATCCTTATATGACAATTTCATATTTCTAAATTCATAATTCTTTAAGGTTTTCTAGTGTTTAAACATGTTTTATTAAAAATATACAAGTTTTTAAATATGAAGAATTTCTAATTTATGGGAATTACTAAAGACGTTAATCATAATTATGAAATATCAAATGTGATAATTTTAATTGAGTTTTAAAAATTGACAAACAAATTTTTTAAAAAACATTGAAAATGGAAGAAATGATTTTAAATTATTTAAAAAAACTCTGTTTGTGCAGAGGTAATGAATGGCCGTTAACAATTACAAGAAAGAACAATTGGGACAATTAAGAACAATTGTGAAAACGGTGTAAGCGGAAATTTCGAGGTGGTCGGTGGCTCGTTCACGCCCGTTGTAAACAAAGCTTACGAACTTGCAACCAATACTCCCGGAAAGTTGTTGTAAAAGCTTTTGACAATTGCAATCTGTAAATAGAGTTAGAAAGCCTAATCAAATTGTTATTTTTTTCACATGTGTCTGTTAGCTTTTAACACCCGATTCGGCCTATCAGTGGACAAGCAATTCGGTTCCCTGAACACTGGGAGTTCGGTTATAGGTTTGCGCCTCGCCAGTACGTGCAGTTTTTCGTGTTTTATCCGCGTCTGTAACGCCTGAATAGAAGTCAATTACTTTCCTTAAAAAAGACCTTTCGGAAGGCCTTCCATTTACACAGATCGCCGAAGTGTTGCGTTGCCGTAACTTAACTAAACAAACACCCATTTCAAATTATCACATTTCATAATAAAGTTTTCTTTATATTTAAACTAGCTGTTATCCGCAACTTCGTCCGCGAGGATTTTGCAAGCAAACCCCATTTATATTCAGTATTTCAACAACTATAGTATTTGTTATATAACACCTACCGCTGAGAATTGCTGAGAATCAAACGAACTATTTTCAATTTGATCAATTTTCTGGAACGTTTACAATCATTATGTAATCGAACCAATATGCAATAACAAATTCGAATTTAAAACGGTTCGAACATTTGGTTAAAAAATCGAAATGTATAAAAATATTTATAACAATGTCTGAAATCTTATCAATTTAATACACCTAATTACTCAATGAAAACTAAACGTAAAAACAAAAAATCGCATTTAAAATAGTACAGTAAAAACCGTTCTTCCGGTTAAGCCTTAATGCACTCCCTCTCCCCTTGCGGGGAATCTCTTCTTAGTGTGCGTTTTCATGACATACCCTAATTGTGTACCAAATTTCACCTCTTTAGTTTCAGCGGTTTGCTCTGGGCGATGATGAATCATCACTCAGTCAGTCAGTCAGGACAAGTAATTTAGATTACAGTAATAGATTAGTGCACTATTAGATTTAATTTGATTCAAGTTGAACAGTTACTTAACGTTTGTATATTTTCTTCCAGAAATGGATCTTGCGTACGCAAAACATTATGGAGTATGTATGACATTTGGAATTATCTCACACCTGTACCCTTTGTAATATTTATTATTGTTGCAGTATTTTGTTTTCATAGTCATGAACACAAAAGAGTGAGTATAGAGTTGTTGATAAAAATGCAGCGTTTAAAGGAAAAAAATAAGAAACCAATGAAATGGAAGATAATAAAGAAACGAAAGAAGAGAAGAAAGGATGTCTAAAAATATACACATTAATTTTACGACTTACCTATGGTTATATTTGAATTATAGGAGACCTTAAGTAATGTAGACCACATGAAATACCATTTTCTTATCAATGTAATTTCATTCTGTAATGTTTCGACTGGTTTTAATGATTAACGTGTCTTTATGTAATAATTTTAAGGAATATAAAAATGAATATTAGTCTTTAAGAACAACTATTTAAATTACGAACATTTAAATAAATCAAAAGCTTTCTAAAAGTAAATTTTGGTATTTGATGAAGTTTAATGAAGGTAAATTTAATGAAGTTTGTCCTGATACGGACAAACTTCATTAAATTTTAGATGGCCGACTTTTACGGAGCCATTTCGACTCTCTTTTAGGCTCAAATGCTGTATTTAGGGATTGCAATCCAGCAGTGTTTTTAAATTAATCCAGCTGGATTTTTGCTTGACCAACATCATTCCAGCTGGATCCAGCGCGGATCCAGATGGAATGATACGCGGATGTTTTTTGGTGCAATAAAGTGTTATCTATCTATCTATCCAGAAATTTAAGGGTTTTTTTAAAGAAATAAAACATTTTTTTAACCCTGGGCTAGTGCAGTGGGGATTTTCGACACCCCAAACGTTTTAAAAGTTGCACTATTCATAGATTTCGCAAAAAAATATTTGTTTCCTCTTCAGTAGCTTCATGATTTTATGTATAGAGCATGCTCAGAAATTACTGCGATGTTGCAGAAATTCCAGTAAGAGAAAGACAACAATTCTCAGTGGGGTGTCCAAACACCCCACAGTATTAATTACGTTTTTTTGTTTAATTTTATAAAACTTTATTTAGTTTTTTTATTTAAAAATAACTATAATGTGACCAAATTTATTATTTATAATATTGATTAATTATTTTTATTCACATTGATTATTATAAGTTTATTTTAATTAGTTTTATTCCCTTACAAATTCAAAATGGCTGACTTTGATAAACACACTGAGAGAATACCAAACATAGCAAGCTGCTTATCATTTGCATTGAGTGCCAAAGTACAATGTTTAAAAAGGAATCAGGTTCAAGATTATGAAATTTTAAATAATACAGAAAATAAGCATTATTTGAATTTACCTGTAGGTGATGACAATGAAAATGAATGTGACTGATGAAAGATACTGTGATACACAACAGGTAATGAAGAAACCAACACCGAGCACAATGAAACTGATGAAGAACTTGACCTATCTTAATTGAGATCACAAATCAGAAACTATCATGAATCTGCAGATGTAGATGATTTGCATCTCCAAGATGATATAGGGGAGACCGGGGCAAGATCGGCATGTTAAGCTTTACTTAAATTTTGTGTAATAAATACTGCTGTATTTATTACACAAAATGTAAACTGAAAAAAAAGCTTTGCATATTGTCTATTGGAATGTTACCTTACTATAGAACTGGTTAAAATCAGTTTGGAAATAAAAATAATTAAAATAATTACAACTTTACAAGAAGAGAGAAATTGACGAAGTTGCCCCGGGTATAGGGGCAAGATCGGCAACTTCTCTCTTTTTGTAAAGTTGTAATTATTTTAATTATTTTTATTAAAGTTGCCCCTGGTATAGGGGCAACAGTAATGGGGCAAGATAGGCACGTATATAAAATTATGTTATTAACAATGTATAAGTTGGAATTCACTATTAAAACAAAGAAATACAAATCCAACACCCATTTAATATTATTACAACGAAATGCAAGTTCAAAGACATATATACATGAATAACAAATGCAAACATGTTTTCATTTATCATCTGTTTGATTTTTATCCTTTGCTTCTAATGTGGCTTTATGTTGCCGATCTTACCCCGCTAGTCATGATTTCGAAACATTAAGTACAACCCTGAGAACAGAATGCCAAGCCACGATCTGGCCACGTGAATAAGTTGAAGTTACATCCTTCTAACAGGAAAAGTAACTTTCGTTATCATGGAATTATAACAAAACCTGCCAATTCAATATAAATGGAAAAAAAATATTATATGGAATTGAACGAAAATGAAAATTTGCTTGATAATTCAACTACGCTTGTTGGAGAACAATAAAAACACTACACTCAACAAGCCACCAATAAAACTCAACTGCCTAACTTATAACCAAAGTCTCCTTTTAATTTGTTTTTAAAAAAAAGCGCTTGACAAACTTGCCCCCCGCATGCCGAAGTTGCCCTGGTCTCCCCTAAGTAAAGATATAGATTACCATCCTTATGATGAAGTTCTTAGTGCTCAATGTCAATTTAATATACTGAAAATGTATTATGAAGCCATAAGAGCACCTAATGCACAAAAGTGGAAAGGAGCAATGCAGAAAAAAAAAATAAATTCTCTTCAAACTCACAAAATGTGAAATATAGTAAATCTATCAGAAGGAATACAATCTATAGAGTATAAATGGGTATTTATTATAAAAAAACGAGACAAAACATCAAATGATGGAAATTTCAAGGCAAGATTAGTAGCACTTGAATGGTGCTACTAATCTTGCCTTTGAATGTGCTCAAAAATTTCATCAAGACTACAATGAGAGTTTCTCCAGTAATTAAAGCAGACAGTTTGATGTTTAATGCTTTTGCTGCTATAAAAATTTGGAGTATTCACCATTATGATGTAGATACAGCGTTTCGTTTTTGTATCTACATCATAATTGTGTAAAAAACTAAAAACTATCTACTGTATATGGAACAACTGCTAAGATTTGAATACACAAAAACTAATAAAAGACTGGAATGAAATTTGAATCAAGCATTATATGGATTAAAACAAAATAAAAGAGTATGGTTCCAGACTGTTAGAGATTACTTCTAAAATGTGGATTAAAAAATTTTACATTTGACCAATGTGATTTCAGTTATGAAAAGAATAATTCAAGATTAATTTTAGATCTGTATATGGAAGATATAATTATTATCAACTTAGATGATGAAGTATTGAGTACAGTAAACAGTTTAATTTAAAAGAAAGTACTCATACAGTTAATATACTAGAAATGGAAAATTACTCAAACAAAAGAGACTGTTACTGTTAAGCAGCAAACTATCATCTAATAAATCTTAAAGAAATATAATATAGAGAATTGTAATCCTGTGACTACAACACTTCATTTAAATGAAGATTTAGATATATATGAGTTTGTGATGTATAGAAATACCAGGAACTCCAGGAATCACTTATGTATCTGGCTACAAAGCTCCACACATGAGAGCTCTGAAACATCTGGAATAGCTGCATAGGAATAAGCATTATGGTTTTAGATATGTCAAGAGAAATGGGAAATTATTGTGTTATAGTGATGCATCATGAAATTGTGGAAAGAAACAAGGCCAAAAGTCTTTAAGTAGATACAGTAGAGCGTCGATTATCCGAAAGCCAATCATCCGAAACGTCAATCATCCGAAAAAATTCCAGTCCGCAAATTTAAATTTTCGCCAGTGCTGTGGCGCTGCAATCTTTTGGCAATGTCTTGGGCTACTCAAATATTTTACGTTTTTGATACTAAATTAACTTCCGAAGTATAATTTTTATTGCTTTTATATTTTTCAATATATTTATCTTGTTCGTACAAAATAAAAAAAATAATTTTTAACGATACAATAGTCTTCGTTAGGCTTAACATTGACGAAAATTCAACGCGAAGCGACACGCAACGGAGAAAAATGTCAAGATGGGATAAATTAATATATTTTTTCGTACATGATCGGTTATCCGAAACATCGATCTTCCGAGCAACCCCAGTCCCCAATTGATTCGGATAATCGACGCTCTACTGTATTATCAAATATTGCTTCAGAAGAATTCTTTGGGCTTGGATGGAAAGGTTCACTTATTTAGTTCTGTATGATTATACCACTTGGCTAGAAGTCACTATGCACACGTGGTCTACACTGACTATCTTTCTAGGCCTGAGTCGTGGTTGCTTCCCACTCAGTCTCCCTCAGTAGATCTCTTCTCTCATTGGTGACAATCCAAAAGTGACTTTTCTTAACTCCCGTTTTTCCCAGGTTTTCCTCGGGCAGGACCCTTTCTTTACTTTTTTGTAATCTGGCCAATCAGGAAAGGTTTGAAGACAGAAGGAAGAAGAATTACAGGAAAGAAGAAAGGAGTTCCTATTCTATATACAACTATATACAAAAACAAACATGGCGGACAACCACATATGCATAATGTTTCATTATNAGTTTCAAGAAGTGGAAGTGTGGACTAACAAGTACTGTTTTGTGCAACAGAACAACAGCATTATTTGCCTTTTGTGCAATGGAACAATAGCAGTGCCAAAAGAATTCAACCTGAAGTGACATCATGAAAGCCAACACAAGAATTTCCTTCTGCAAGGTACGGAACGCAAACGGAAAATCGAATCGTTACGACGATCACTAATCAGCCAACAAAATGTGTTCAAGAAACAATCTGGAGAATTGGATGCAGCTGTTGAAGCCAGCCTAGAAATATCTGCTTTAATAGCCAAGAATGGGAAACCTTTCACAGATGGCGATATGATAAAAAAGTGTCTTATCATCGCAAGTGAGATGAGTCCTGAGAAGACAGTGTTTTCAAACAATCAGTCTTAACCACATGACGATACAACAAAGAATCTCGCAAATTGCATCAGACATCGCATTAATCACTTGGAGGTCCAGCCCCCAGTCAGTAAACTTAATCCTAATTTGGCCCTTCTTCAGAAAAGGTTGTGCATCCCTGCTATAGCCAACACTATTTCAATTAACAATAGTTTATAATAAATTCAATTAACAGTATTTATATCAATATGTTATTATGCAGTAATGTTGCATTATATTTATTATAACAGTAATTTATTATATTTATCAAACAATATTATAGCATTATTGTAACAGCAATATTCTAATAATATTTTATTATGATGTCTGTAATTCAATATTTATTCATCATTTATATCTTATATATTATCTAACATTCAAATAATAAATACTATCTAGGGCTCATATAAAATACTATCTATATGCTCAAGGGACCCACCTTAACAGAACCTCCAATAAAATCATTCCTTATTCTATCCTTCCTTGACACTCCACACATCCATCTGAACATTCTGATCTCTGCCACCTCACCTTTCTGTCTTGGGATCTTGTTATTGCCCATGTCTCAGCTCCATATAACATTGCAGATCTAACCACTGATTTATACATTTTTCCTTTCAGAGTGC